CTGGTATGTGGCATGAGATTAATTTCAATGAGAACCTCTGGAAATGAATGGAAACTGGAATTTGATTAAAAAGAAGTCGGTTTCTTAAAGAATTATAATTATCTGCTTCACATTGAGTTGTCAACTGCAAAGTCAGCTGTTCAAATCCACAAGCTGCTCCTTTGAAGAAAGATGGGGCTTTCTGCTCCTGTAAAGATCTACAGCCTCAGAAACCTATATAGTGTCACTATGAGTCAGAATTGACATGTTGGCATACAACAACAACAAGCTACTTGCTTAAATGCTAATGTTACAATAGTTAGGACTGTTAGCAGGACTATGTTAGTAGAGAGTGAATAGCTGGGTCATCATTCTGATAGCCAGAGTTTTATTTATGACTAATAATCCTCGATGGAAAAAAAGTTAAATAATTCTTGATTGTCACCTTTTTGATGAAATTATGAAAACTGAGATTCTTATTCGTTCTGTCCTTTGCTTGTTTTTCCTCAAATCCCATTACCATAGCCTAGCATAGACACGAAAACCAGTTGCCAGAGCCAACTCTGACTCATGGCAAACCCATGTGTGTCACAGTGAAACCATCGGGTTTTCAGTGACGGAATTTTCAGAAGTAGATCATCAGTCCTTTCTTCCTAAGGCACCTCTGGGTGAATTCAAACCTCGAACCATTCAGTTAGCAGCCAAGTAAGCTAACTGTCTATACCACCCAGGGACTTCCTTATAGTCTCTAGTAGCTGCCATCCCCCAGTTGCAGCTTCTGCTTTCTATTGTCTTGTTTCTTTGCTAACGTCTTTGAAGGTCTCTCCCCATCTCTACAACATGCCCTCAAATCCCATCACAATACGCCTACACTGTGGACACTTTTCAAACATTGACTCTAAATACCTGTGCTTCCACAAAAGTGGACCCAATTATATTTTGTCAACTGTCCTATAAATCTCCTATGTGTCATACCTTCTTCTACTTTCTAGAATATTTATCTGTCTAATTTGGCAACCCTTTGTTAACTCCTTGATGACATCACTCATCTGTAATGCATTGTGGTAACTTGTACACACAGCACGGTGGCTATGTGCCGTAGAGTCGGTTCCGACCCATAGCGACCCTGTGCAGGTTTCTGAGGCTGTACATCTTTACGGGAGCAGAAAGCTTTATCTTTCTCCCACAGAACTGCTGGTAGTTTCTAACTGCTGACCCTGAGGTTAGCAGCCTGATTCATAACCACTATACATCCCATAAAAATACTAAACTGAGCTGTAAGACACACAAGGAAGTTAATTACTACCTTTGAATAAACTGACATTTTAATATGTTTGCCATCTACATTTACATAAAAAAAATCTAGACTTGTCCCAACTATCCACAGAATTTAAAATATAACCTCTAAGAAGATTCTATTTGCAGTGAGATAGAAATATTATATATTATCATGTTTAAATTAATGCCTCCTTAAAAATAAGAAAATACATTTCTTTTATCCTTAACTCTTCCAAGTACTTCACAATCAAGAAGTAGAACACAACAAGAACATGTCATCGCTTTATGAAATCCAGTATCTCTGGCGTGAAAAGCAACAGCTTAACAGAATACAGAGACACTAGCAACGTTTGATAGAAACTCATTTCTATATAGTCTAAGTGAAATGACATGGAAGCGTGAGATAGAAAAATGAAAAGGATTTGGGGAGATTTACAATAAGAGTTTAGATCGAAACACCAGAGGCTGAATGCTGCTATCGATTACAGAGGAAATTTTCAAGAATGAAGTTACTTATATAAATAACCAACAGGTTTTCTGGGCTCATGTAATGTATTTTTTTTTTTAATTGTTAAGAGTTTATTTGCTTAATCTATTTCAAAACATACAGCCTAGTACCTTTACAATCTCAAACATTATTTGGTCATTTGCTACATCAGTTCTTTGCTTCACATCCATAATATAAGAAAGGCCTAAAGTTCTATCTATATTGGTTATAAAAGAGACAAACAAAACTACTGTCCCACCTCACAGATACAAGTAAAGAGTTCTCTAGCTATGTGCTGGAATCTGACAGTGCATTTGTTCTAATTCCCTGTTCAGGGGGGGAAAGCCAAACTCAAAATATTAAAATGATTTAATTTAATAACTTCATTTATAGTTGCACTATTTTTAGGTGACCAAAACTCACTAGGAAACAGATTTACTGCAACCCTTAGAAGGGAGCTTCAGTAATAAAAAACTTGATAAAGGTACTTGATTGCATTATAACTTAGGGGGAACATTTGCCGGGCAGTTACTGACATTTACTGGAAAGAGATTAGAAAACTGAAATCAATTTTAAGTGTGTTCAATGGTTTCATTTTAACTTGAATTCAAACAAATACTGTGTGTAACTTAAAGAAAAATGATGAAATTTATTTATCACTAAAGCTTAAGTATAGAAACACAAACACTTGTTGCCAGTCAGTCTGTCTAATCAAATTATTCACAGTGAAATAAATTGAAATACAAACAGGTCTTCAGTTTGGCAAGTTTTCTTAGTGGCAGAATTGTGCATATTAATTCCAATGACATGAGTTAAAATCATTTTACATACAGTATAATTCTCTTTCCCCTAAGAAAGGTACACTTTACCACTTAAGCCAATTTTATTTTAGTTTTCTTCATATAAGTGTGAAAAAAGAACAGATGTTTTTCCAAAATTACTTAAACTTGGAAGGCATTCTATCATTTTCCTCAATATAATCCTTCAGAATTTCCAAAGCCATCATTGTTGTTGTTGTTGTTGTTAAGTGCTACTGAGTCGGTTCTGACTCATAGCAGCCTGGATAGGGTTTCCGAGGAGCAGCTGGTGGGTTTAAACCGTCAACCTTGTGGTTCAAGCCGACCATGTGGTCAAGTGCATTATCCTACAGTACCACACCAAGACTCTAAAGTCGGCATGGTGACATATTAATACTTGACTTGTTTAAAATAAGCACTATGAAATAAGTATCAGAAAGGACAACATTTTTAATACAAAACATGTTTATTATAATGAAATAATGTGACTTACTTGTCACACTAATTTCATCTTCCAACATGTACTTTTAAAAAAATATCTAGTTGGTCTTTGTGCCAAGCACTAAGAGGTTTCTAAAACTTACCACCTTCTACAGTTCTTAGCTCAGTGCGTCTGGATTCCCTTACATTGGCTACACTAGAATGTTTAACTAGAATTATCAACTGGCTTCATCACGCTTCATTATAAAACCTATTAAAATGATCTTCTGATAAAAGTGGAGTTTGCACTGTGTTATTCCAAAGTCCTGCAGATACTAAAATGAGATCCTATGGAATGCTTAAAGACGAAAAGAGCTGTCTTGAGTTATTTTTTCATTATGCAAAACTTGGCCCAGGAGAGATGCCTATGTACCTCGTTAGCTAAAACAGACAAGCATGTCAGGACTGCAAATTAATTTGCCCGAAAAAGTTAAATAGGATTCAGCCACTCAGATTTCTAAGGCAGATCTAAGTCTGCAACTTGCTCAGGTGCGAATCTCAGAAAAATTATCATTATTGTCTTTCTCCCCATTTCTTATAGAACACAAACATCGCCTTAAACTGAACCCACACACTAAACGTAAAGTGTTCCATGGGAACCACCATGTACAGGTACAACTCTAAGTTTTCTAGTGTCATGGGTACGTAACATGCTCATGACCCCTTAAACATCCAATAACTACAAATGGAATCAGTCAAATATTTACCTCTCTCCTTCTATTAATTACTTGTTTTTATTAAGTGAAGAGGCGGTTGGAAGTGACTCCACCAAGGCACACAACAACAATAACTGAGTGAAGAATCATGAGGGATGGAGTATAATTACATAACACGTGTCATCCAGCCGATGTGATGTAGTTCGGAATAGAGTAGCAAAATCCTTCATTTTTTTCAGCTGGTGTTATTATCTGTTCATTTAAAAATACCACTCACTAGAGTACATTCCTTCATTGCATGTTAACCTCATGTTCCTGTTGCTTTCCGCTTCATATGCTCACTGAGTTGACTGTTGTATAACAAGTTAAGTTTCATTCCATTTCCCCATCCCAGTTACGAAGCCCACTGACATCAGAACCACACAGTTCTCTACAGTGCTACAACAATTCTATAATGGTCTGCTTTTAGTACCAACGACTAAGTAGTCCACGTTTTAAGTAAAGTAGACTGATTTGACCCTTAAAAACATGCAACCTTCTTAAGAGATGGAGCCAGCCCCTCAATTAGTTAACACTGTGCAAATTCCTTAAGGAAAACAAGCAATGGTCTTCCTCAGATGTTATGAGAAAGAAAATATTCTTTAAAAAAAAAATCAACAGACCAGGCTTCCATTTCTGGATTGTAAATGTCATCCAATTGAGGAAATCAAAAAATCTTCCCTTTCATATGCCTATTTGCTTATTTTTTTACACTTTGATGATGACAGAACATCAGGTTTGAAGGGTGCCAGCATGAATCACCAGCAAGTACAGAAATCCAAGAGAGCCACAAAAGCATAGAAAGTAAGGGTGGTATCAGACGCATTTCATTTCAAGTCTGATGAGCCTGCATTTAGGATTTTCCGGATGGACAGGTTTGCTAGGGCAATAGGGAGATGGAGCTTTTTAGTCTTCTACACATAAACACACCACACTCTCTCACACACACACACACACACACACACACACACACACACACGGACGGACATACGCCTCGGGTGCGTTCAAACTCTATACAGTAGGTGGCATATGTATGAATGTATAGATATTTTTTTAAAAAAATACCTTGAGATCTGACAAAGACGCGAAGGCAACGGATGTGCAGTGAGTCTGGGTCTGAGAAACGTGCACAGCCCCGCAAGAAGTGCATGTTAAAAATGAAACATTTCTGAGGATGAGGACAGACATGGCAAGCAGAGGGGCGGGGGCTGACAGACAATACAGAGACCCGCAGCACCCCACCGACAGGGTGCCACATGGACCCGGCACGTAACCCCTGCTTACTGTGGGCTTTTAGGGTAGAAGGGCAGGGTCACATGGCTGAGATCCTGGATGTCGAAGGCGGTGGGCTCAGCTGAGATCGCCTGCCGCTTAGTGCGCGGCTCGCCCTGCAAGGTGCTAGCGCTCTGCTTCTGCGCCTGCTGGGTGGCCGGCCGGATCACCGAGCGGTACTTGTCCAGCTCATTCTGTAGCTTCTGGATCAGTTCGTCCTTCTGATCCAACTCCAGCTCCAGCTCGTCGATAAGAGCATCCCGCTGCCTCAGCTCCTCTATCTTCTCTTGGAGCGCGTATTGTAAATCCCGAAGGGTGCCCATGCTCCTCCGGGCTGCCGGGGGCTCCTTCCTGCCGCTGCTCCGCGTCTTGGGGCTTCCTCCCTTCTCAGATCAACTTTCCCCAAAGTCGCCGCTGTCTCCCGAGTGCAAAAGCTTCCTACTTGAGCCCAAAGCCAGCCCTGGCTTCTGAGCATGCCCAGTCCACTGGCTCCAGCCACCAAGAGTTTCTCTGTGCAAATTCCACTTGTCTGGGTTTACTGCGAGGCTGAGTGCCTGGATGAGCAAAGCAGCAGGTCCAACCCGGGATTAAATCTGCAACGGTGGGCGCCGTGCGCCGGGGACAACAGTCGAGAGGCACAGTGGCCGGGAAGCGGGAGTAGGGGACTTGGATGACGGGGCTCCGCCACAGCAGCTGGTCGGCTCTGGTTATTTGCTCTAGGCGCCAAAGGAAACCGGCTGCGTGTGCGGGGAGCCTGATAAACCTCTGGGGCGCGCTGGGGTGGGGGGTGGGAGGATGTGCAAGCCGAGCGAGGCGGGCTGGAGAGGATTGGGAGGACCCCAAGCAAACCGGGGAGGCGTCAGTTCGCTCCACTGCACGCGGATCTTGGAGACGTGCGTGGCGAGAGCGGGCTCTGCAATTTAAAAGCTTTACTTCTGGAGGTATTTTGACGGCCAGTTTCACTGACAAAGGCTCCAGAGCTCTGTGGTTGAGCACTCACTTTTCCCACGTCACCTTTTCCCAAGGAGAGCGCCTCACACAGGTGGCTTCTCAGTAATGGGAAAGAGTGGGTGCCTGGGAGGGATTCCCCCTTACGTTCAAGTGCCTTTGGGATGCCTGCTTTTTCTCCTAAACGTTACCACTCACTGTACTGTTCTTGTACCTCTGCCAAACTCAGTTTAATGATATCGTTCTAGGGCAAAGGCCAAAAGGGATTTGGGTCCTGGGAGGCTACTGAGCTTTTCCATTACCCTTCCTACTTGAGCTAGTTTCTACGTAGGTGTACGGATGGACTTTGCCTCTTCTTTTTGCTTAGTTTGGGGGTTCAAGTCGTTACGAAATGCCAAAAATTCATCGAGAAATTGAACCATACTTTAAAATTGTTTACTTCTCTGACAACTGAACTGTTAGGACGCTATCTTTCCACTTAACTGGCAAGAAGAAACTCTGACTCAAAACTTTGAAGAGAAAAAAGGGAGGATTTGAAAAGGACCACAAAAAAGATGTTACCAACCCCATTCCACTCCACCCACCACCTTATTGTCACTCAGTTAATATTTCCTAACATAACAATTAGGTAGCAACTACGTTCCCATGATGGGAACACATATTTTAAAATTTCCAAATGTGTACCTAATCCATTCCCAAATTTCCAATATTTATCTACATTGGCTCATCCACTTTTTACAGAATCTGTATTAGTTCCCTAATTACTATTCTTGGAACATTCAAATGTTACAATTCTCAATGCTTTATTTGGCCATTTCTTAACACTAAAACAAAGAAAATAGAAAATAGGTTAAAATTGAATTGCAACTCAGAGCTACTCACTGGAATCTAAATTTAGCCAAGGACACAAATACCAGTCTCAAAGAATGTACTCACTTTTGCTTTTGATTGTACAACTTTTTCTGAGTTTAAAAAAAAAAAAAAGTTGGAAAAAAGAGGAAGAAACAGTGAGTCAATGGCATGTTATCAAGTTTTTCTGGTGTTCATTTAAAATGTACTTGTTTGTAATTAGAGGTGTAAATGATAAAGAGACATAATCCGAAACGTTCTTCCATGCAGATTATGATCTAGGTCACATTGTCATAAATGATATACTTTATTCTTTCTCACATGGGCATTATGAGAAATGCATTGTTTCCAAATGTTATATAAAATAAAATGGATAATTTCCAAAACATTTTCATTTGCAGTGAACAAAACATGAATAACTTATAAACACTGGCAGCTGTAAATAATAGCACTGACTTCCTGTTATTTTAATTAAAATACACGCAGAAGTACCGTGACTTTGAATAGCTGTCTGCTCTAAACAAACTGCAGTGACATTTCCTTCTCCCAAGCAGACAGACAGATTCTTATTTAATTTATGGAAGTTCTTTAATTCCATAGGGAAAACGTTTAAGATTTTCCTATACATCTATGATAGGGATCCATGAGGCCAAGAGCATATGTCTAAAAATCCATCCAAAAACAACATATACTAAACTGGATTTTGGCGTCCTGGTGTAGAGCTGTAGGATAAAGTGCTGGGTGGCAAGGTTGGCGACTCAAACTTACTCACCAGCCGCTCCTCAGAAACTTTATACAGGATGGCTATGAGTCGGAACCAACTCAACAGCACTTAACAAACTGAATTTTGACTTTAACGTTTATCGGAGGCTTAAATAAGCGCTTCCCATGTAATGCGGTGGTTCTGTAGGATAAACACATATCTGTGAACCACAAGCCAGACCTTCCAAGGCCTCCAACTGCTCCTCTGAAGAAAGACGAGGCTCAGAAATAGGATGCAGGGTCTCAATGAGTCAGAATAGCAACAACATGAGTTGGAACTGGCTTGATGGCAGGGGGTTTGGTTTTTTGGTTTGATAATTCTTAGTGGAATTACTGGATGGTATAAACAGTTTAGTTGTAAGTTCAAGTCTATCCAGAGATCTTTAGGAGAAAGGCCTAAACATCTACTTCCAAAAATAAGTCACTGAAACCCTATGGAGAATTCAGCTCTACTCTTAAACACATGGGGCCACCAAGAGCGAGAGCTGACTCGGTGGCAACTTGTTTTTTAATGTCTGTTGTCATTGCTGTTAAGTGCTTTCATGTCAGTTCTGACTCACAATGATCCTATATAGGGTTTCTGAGGAGGGGCTGGTGCGTTTGAACCTACCTTTGCGTTAATAGTCCAGTGTATTTATACGACAGCTCCACACTAGGACTCCTTTTTAGTATTTGAGCAACATAAAGTAAGGAGCTCTGGTAGCGTAGTGGTTACGAATCGGGCTGAGAACCTTAAGGTCAGCGGTTCGAAACTACCAGCTGCTCTGTGGGAGAAAGATGAGGCGTTCTACTCCTGTAAAGATTTACACCCTCGGAAACCTTGTACAGGGTTGCTATGGGTCGGAACCAACTCGACGGCACATAACAACAACAACAACAATTTGTAGACAGCCTATTTCCACACACAAAGAAAAATGGAACAGTACTTTTGCTCAAAATATAAAAAACTACCACTTCAACCAAAAATATTCAGAACTTTAAAATTGGAATTGAGTAGTGTTTCACTATTTAAGCTAGCATATTTACACACAACTACAGGGCACACATTACACAAACACATGACCTTTTCATTTTAAAGCAAATTTGTGTGTTAATAAAATATATTTCTGCAATTAATCCAATACTGAGAGTCAGGAATCTTTTATAACAACCACAAATTTGAATTGCTTGAAATGCTTGAAAAGATTTAAGATTGTTAAAAATGGTTTACCCTGAAAATGGTGTCACAAGTAGAGACTGCAATTCAAAAATCGTTAGTTCTGAAAATATAATGTAATTTTTCTTTAAATACTTTATATATGTAAAATTCAGAATTCTAGGCTTTTCTCTTTCATTGTTAGTGTCAAAACAAATATTTTAGGGCAGTCTTTCAATGATATTCTTAACTGGTTGTTTAGATCTCAAGGGACTTAATTTCCAAGTCAGCATATTGAGCAATACCAATATTGTATTAAATATCTTTGGCATTGAACTTGGTAAGTGCTAGAAATAATTTTATGTGATAAATCAAGGTCCTGAAATTATATTTCAACAAAGATAAATTATTCCATAAAATCTTTACTATAATAATCTTAATTGGTTAGATTAAAAGATCAAGGCTACTTTCTTCTCATTAACAAGTAGTTACTATAAATCTGGAGTTAAATACAATGGGATGAAGTGATGTGGAGTGGAGTAGGTGGCTCTCATTCAATGCTCATCTGGGAAAACACCCTTTGATATTAGATACTAACAAAACAATATAATTTTGAAGGCAGTTAGTTCACACCTCATAATTTCATCATCAACCCACAACCTGCTTTTCAGTAACCTCTTTTCATCACTGCTTAAAGAGAAGCAGCATTCTACCAGTAGCCAGATCAAACTTTGGCTTACTGAACTTGAATAATCACTTCAATTTTGGACTCCCCCGTCATGATGCTGTTGTTGTTGTAAAGTGCTCTAGAGTCAGTTCCTACTCACAGTGACCCTGGATAGGGTTTCCAAGGAGCCGCTGGTGGCTTTGAATCACCAACCTTTTGGTTAGGGGTTCAGGAATGAATAGTAAGTACTATACCCTCCTTTGTGGAAATCTCAGAATCCTTTAATGAAACACTTTGAAAACACAGGCACTTTTACTATAATACTATTAAAAAAAAACTAAAAAAGTCTTAGAATCAAGTATCCTTCACTAACAACATAATTAGCATCAACATAAAATGGTAATTTTATCCTCTACTTTTCCATTCCATAGATGCTCCATTCCTTGGAAGAGTCCTAACTTTCAACTCTTCTGCCATTTCATACCAGTATCTTGAAGGGATGGGGGTGGGTGCGAGGTTTTTTAAGTGATAGACGCTATCTCTTGCAGAAGACTGCTAAAACAAACATGAACTCATATGAATCTAGATAGGGAGGCTACTACTACTGTCATACACACTGACTTGCTCTAAAATTGCTAAACTAAACCTTGTTGTTTGTTGTCAGGTGCCATCGAGTCGGAACCGACTCATAGCGACCCCATGCACAGCAGAACGAAACAATGCTCGATCCTGGGCCAACCTCACCACCGCTGCCACCCCCGAGTCCATCAATGATGCCACCTGGCCGATCTATCTCGTTGGGGGTCTTCCTCTTTTTCTCTGACCCTCCACCCTACCCAGCATGACATCCTTCTCCAACGATTGTTTCCTCCGGACTACATGTCCAAAGTAGGAGAGACGAAGCTTAGCCATCCTGGCCTCCAAGGAGCACTCTGGCTGCACTTCTTCCAAAACAGATCTATTGGTTCTTTTGGCAGTCCATGGCACCCTCAGTATTCTCCTCCAACACCACAACTCAAAGGCATCAATTCTTCTACGATCCT